ATAATTCTAGATAATTTTATTAATTTTGTACCAACCAAAGACTATGATGAACAAGTACTATCCCTTACTAAATTTTTGCTACAATCAGCTGTGACAGAAACTACCAGAAGTGCCATTCGCTGGTCATTTTTGATTTGAAATTGAAAGCTCAGGTTCAGTTCTTTGGACTAGAAGCGTAAATTTTAGCCTAAAACATGTTAAAAGTTTATGTTTCTGCATGGATTTTAATGCTGTTAACATTGAAATACTTGAAAGTATCTGTGGCTTATTTGTGGCATCTTCACTGCTGTGGCTTTGTTTGTGACGTAACAACACAAGAACACTTGGTACATCAACTGTGACATAAAAAATGCAATATTTTGCTGCACCACAAATAAATATATGTAAATAATTAGTAATGGAAAATATGTTGCTGGAACATTTTGAGAGACTGTGCCTAAGCAGAATAATATATTATTATTATAGTAAATATACTAAACAATAAAGTAGTTCCTTTGATTGCCACTGTTGGTGCTGGCATCTGAATGTGGGCACCCCATCTTTGTTTAAAATTAAAACAATTCAATATCTTACTGCACCACAAGTTAATACATTTAAATAATTAGTAATGGAAAATATGTTGCTGGAACACTTTATGAGACCGGACCTAAACAGAATACGATATTATTCTATTATTAGTCAAGATACTAAACAATAAAGTAGTTCATTTTATTGCCGCTGCTAGCGCTGGCATCTGTATGTGGACCTTCTATGGGTAATTTTAATTTAACATGGAATTATGGAGATACAACTTCTATGATTAATTTGAATCATAAACATATACCTAATGCAAGAAATTAGCAATCAATAATTCAAGGTTATTTTATAAGTTTTGTGCCAACGGAAGACTACATTAAATACGTATTGGCAACTTGTGCTAAAAAAATGCACTGCAACTGCAATCAGCTGTGACAGAAGCTGCTAGAAAGCGTGATTCATTGGTCATTTTTGATTTGAAATCAGTTTCAGTTCATTGGACTAGGAGCGTAAATTTTAGCTTAAAACCTATTAAAAGTTTACGTTTCTGCATGGATTTTGATGCTGTTAACATTGAAATACTTGAAAGTATCTCTGATGCAAGAAATACTGGCTAAATAAATTTTAATTTAGAAATTAACGTCAATTGAAATTACTGTTGTTGGGGGCTATCTTGGTTCTTGCGAACCGATGTTTGCATCCAGTCACTTATATTGAAAATAAAATTGTTTGAGCAAGTATTTCTTGCATCAGAGATAATTCAAAGTTTGTTAATGTTAACAGCATTATAATCCATGCAGAAACATACATTTTTTATATAGATATTCAAAATTTAGGCTCTTTAGGACTCGTATACTGTGCGTATAGGATTTCAAATCGATGCATGCGTTCAAATTCAAATAAGGCCCGCCCATGGCCAGTGTAGCTATCAGCGCAGCTGACACTGAAACCGCCCCTATCTTCAGAAGTAAGAAAGCTTTTGCCGGGGAAGGTGTGTTAACGCGGTGCGGTGATCGGTCCGTAAAGAAGCGTTGATCGGTTCAAAATGTCATAAGACCAGGTTCTTTTGAATAACCTATAGAATTGCACCATGCTATGTACATTCACTCACAAATGCACAAAAAACTGCCTATCATTCAAGCTACAAATACAAAACTGACCACTGATGCAATCAGCTGCAACATGCAGACTCCCGTTGCAATCAGGAATACCATCCAAACAAAAAACAAACAAAGAAGGTAGCAGAATACTAACCAACCAGGGTGCAGAGGGTGGAAGCAGCGTTGCCAATATATGGGTTTTTAAGTCCAAAGTGTCGCCAACCATTTTCAAGATGCATCGCTGGTAATTTTTAATGAAAAGCCATTTACGTTGACTAATGAAAAACTATTTACAAGCCATGAACTTATTTACAAGGTTGCATGCACGTGTTACCACAAATGACTAATTTTACCCTAAAGACAGTCCGATTGTACAGCAAGTGTCAACTGAACATGTGATAATGCATTCTGACCGCTCTAATGTGACTGCAACTACACAATCGTAAACTTGTGTACATTTTTTTTGGTGGGAACTCATCGCAAATGATTTCCGGACAAGCTTCACTGCATCCTGATCCATCCAATGTACTGGAAACCTTACTTTTTTCTAAATAGTTGGCCAAAGACTGACAAATATATTAAATGCAAGAATTTCAATCTAAATGTGTCGGCAAGATCTTCTGAAGGCGTAAATTTTGCTACTGAAGCGTCGCCAAAGATCTTGCAATATTCATACACTCTCTGCACAGTGGTATAACCAATGATACATCAATATAGTCATGTGAAAAAATGAAAAATATGAATTCTTCAATATTACAAATTAACTTAACAAAGTAATACATAAATGTTATACATGCAGAATCAATCATGTGCAACAGCCAAGGTGGCGGGAATCTAATGATGATTAGTGTTTGCTTGTTGGTTCTCGTAATGCAATCGGTGGGCGAGTCGGTGAGGTACATATAGCGCATTAACTGCAGATAAAGCTCCTGAACTTAGACGATAATTGAGTGAAAACTTTACGTGATATATTGTGAGTCTTCTAAAGTTTTAATAATAAAGAAATCACAAGGTTCACAGAATCTAAAGGTTTGAATTCTAAAGGTTCAAGTACAGTACTCTATTCTAATCAGTCAACTGAGTCAAGTGTCATGTTGTGCATTGTCTTTTCTTCAAGAAGTTTCTCCGATTGTCGATGAGTTTATCCACAATTTGAAAGCCAATGTAAAGAATAGGTGCAATAAAGTTTTATTTTAATATTTAATTTGAAGTCATTATGTTAAAGAGTAAATATTTTTTCCTTCTGTAGATCCCTCTTGCTTATCCGTGAGTGACATGCACAATTAACAGTCTTAGGACCTTGACCATCACTGTGTTGCAGGACAATGACGTAACATTCATGCTGATTGCTGAGGCTGATTTCTGACTGCCTACAAACCTGTTTCTAGCTGCCTGGAATGTTTTTTTAAGGTGGAACCCTTTTTTTAAGCGAATCACTAATTTTAGAATTCCACCCTGGGCAAGATCAGGTATAAAAGACTTTTACAAGATTTCAGCATTCAAGCAACCAAAACATTGCATTGTCTTTTGCATGGGAAGAGAACACAAGTACCGTAAAATAGGGTTACTTTGACTGGCGGGGTAACTTTGACCACTTTACGTTTTTTTAACAAAAACCCCCAAAACTCAAAAACGATTTGACATAAAAAATTTTGTCAATGGCCATCAAAGGCCTAATACTGAGGCTACGTAACACAATAGAAAGATTTAAAAAGTTTGCATATCTAATAGGTTAAAAAATTAATAATGTGACCCACAAAAAAGAGCTATTATTTAATGCCTGTCAGAGTATCCCCTCCAATTTTTTATTTTTTGGTAAAACAACTCCAGATTTTGATGGTAAAACAACTCCAGATTTTTTTTGGTAAAACAACTCCAGATTTTCCAAAAAAATCAGCTGTGCTATGCATTGTACTAGAACTCTTCTAGTTACATATGCAAAAGACAAATTTTAGGAAAGTGTCATAGTTTGCAAATGGGGGGTGCTGCCCCCCAATGGGGGAACTTTGACCACCCAATGGCAGCCGTGACGGGGTAACATTGACCGGATTGGAAATTAAGTTAAAACTACCATAGGCACCTATATAACATATTTCATGTTTGATTCACCTATTAATGTTTTTTTCTTTATGTTTCAGACTCTACAGAGTCTTATATATGGTAATTTTAACTTAATTTCCAAACCGGTCAATGTTACCCTGTCACGGCTGCCATTAGGTGGTCACATTTCGCCCATTGGGGGGCGGCACCCCCCATTTGCAAACTATGACACTTTCCTAAAATTTGTCTTTTGCATAGGTAACTAGAAGAGTTCTACTACAATGCACCACAACCTGGAGTTATTTTACCAAAAAATAAAATTGATTTTACCATCCGGTCAAAGAAACCCTAAGAGCTGGGGTAACAAAGACCATCTCTTTTTTTTAAATTATATCAAAACTATGAGAGGCAGGAGCCAGCAATTTATGGTGAGTAAAGCTAGAGTGTAGACCTGTATTTTGCATGTTTCAATTTAAGTTTAACTTATCTAGTAAAAAAATGGCGTCATTTTGAAAAAAAAAGTGGTCAAAGTTACCCCATTTTACGGCACTGCGCTTGGTGCTATTGCTGCAAATAGGATTAAAAAAATATAATTTGGTACTCACTGCAGTGAGTGACAGTGCACATTTTCTCGTTGACAAAAACATGAAGTTGTGGACAGACAGGCAGATGGACCTATAGACCGACATGGCAAGCATATTAGCGCCTTCTTTTCAATAAATGAGAAAATACTAAAAATAACCTTATCTCTGTTTATTAGGTTTCTGCATATTTTTAATAAACTGCAATGGTCTCTGCAATGCATCCCCTGTAGGGGCCAGGGTGCAGAGGGTGCAAGCAGCGTTGCCAAGATATGGTTTTTTTAGCCCAAAGCATCGCCAGCCATTTTCAAGATCTGTCGCCAGGTAATTTTTAATAATTAAGTGCTGCAAGCAGCTTTGATAGTATATCCTTTATAATCCACGCACCTCTACACTGACACAAAAGTCACAACGCAACTGATTTCCAGACAAGATTCACTCTATCCTGATCCTTCCGGTGTACTGGAAAACTTACTGTGTGAGCTTGCAGTCTTTCAGATTTCCAGTAATTTTGAAGTTATTTCTCATATGCAATAATTTCAATCCAAATGTGTCAACAAGATCTTCAGAAGGCATACATTTTACTGCCAAATATTGTTTGATATTCACCCACTTTCTGCACCCTGGTGTAGGGGTACTGCACTTTCACTACATTTTAAAGCAAATTATGTCACTGAGTCTTGGGTGAGTCATGCTCATTTCCATTTTTTTACATTTCCTATCATTTCTAGGCCAAAAGGACTGTAATTGGTGTTTTTTTTTGTGTGTTTTAGTTAATTATTTGCTATGTGTTGTGTCTTGTAGTTGCAGTCTTTGAAGTTATCATAAGGTTAACCAATCACTCCATTTATTCATCTGTACAATTCAACTGTTGCTGTTTAAACGTTTTAAGGATAAATTTCTGAATAGAGGAAGAATCAAGAATGATATAGTTTGTGAACACCTGAATGCATTTTTGAGCATTACTTTTCTCAATTCTAATTAAATATTGATTGATCTTTCCAGAAATTGTTACCTCTAATGTTAGATTGTATATAGATGTTTCAAATTGTTTGGAAAAACTTACCTAGCTTTACTGTGAAACATTTCTGTAGTGGTAATACTGCTGTGGCTTTTAGATGTAGCATGCCAAACTTGGTGAAACTGACAGAGGACTCTTTCTCAGAGTTGGTACAATCAGCTGTCAGTGCCCTGCAAGAGGGCTCTTTGATAGCTCTACCCACTGATACGCTATATGGGCTTGCTGCCTTGGCTCAGAAATCTGAAGCTATTCATGAAATTTACAGAGTAAAGAAAAGAAACCCCCTGAAGCCATTGGCTGTCTGTGTTGCTCATGTTGCAGACATTTATCACTGGGCTAAAGTTACTGTGCCAGAAAAACTACTGTTGGAGTTGTTGCCTGGACCTGTCACGCTTGTGTTTCAGAGGACCTCCATCTTGAATGTAGATCTGAATCCTGATACAGATCTCATTGGCATCCGAATTCCTGACAGCAAATTTATCAGAGAAATTTCTATTGCTTGTGGTGCTCCTCTTGCTCTCACTAGTGCTAATATCAGCAATCAGAAAAGCCCCCTTGCTGTTGAAGAATTCCAAGACATTTGGAGCAATGTTGCTGTTGTGTATGATGGTGGAATCATTGGCAAACAAATAAACTTGGCTGCAAGTTCTAGCATAGTTCAACTCGAGCAGGAAATTGATTTATCTAGACCAAACAAAAGTGTCACTCAAGATTCAAGTAAAATAACTTCTTTTGAGACCTGTGTTCGAGAAGGCAGTACAGTTGTGAACTTGTCAATTGAAGGCCATTATTCAGTGTTGCGGGACGGGATTGCTCTAGAAAATACATTGAGTATTCTGCAGAAGTTTGGTTTGAAGTCTCTTAATTAAAAAAAGTTGATCAGCTTCAAGGGTGAAAGTGGAGCGCTAATAATTAGTATTCTAGAAATTCAGAAGGAAAATTGTTCTGAAGGCTTATACTCCCCTGAGCTTTCTCTCCATCATTTTTCGTAAGTATATATATAAAAATAAAATGTTGAATAACTTGAGTAACTTAATTGAGTTGCTCAGCCAAAATTTAATATAAATATATTTTGATAGAATAACTTTTTATTTTACCCATTCTGAAATAAATAACTTACAGGTTTTTTATGCTTGGGCATTCAGAAAAGGTCAAGTTTCAAACATATACCTACATTGTATTTTTTTCAGCAGCCTAAAAAATTAATGAAAAACAAAACTGATGAGTAGGTATTTTACTTTGCTGGTAAATTTGATGCTGGCAATTTTATAGATTGTTAAGAGACTAAAAATATGTTTTTAAAAGCATTGTTCGGTCATTCTTTGCTCAATCATATGTATATAAATTCTGACTTTCCAAAACATTTATCTAATTAATGACTAGCTTACATGTTTCTTTTGATCAGGCTTTGGAGGACTGATGCATAAGATGATTTCCTTGCCCTTTATAGACCAGATCCCAATAAACTGGAGCCATGACGAGGAAGAAGGCCAAGATAGCAGAGCAGGATGAGGTGCTACGGCATCAGATGCTTGACTATCTGAAAGACGTTGTGCAGGCTCTGCTGCAGCCCATGGGGGACACCTCCAAGCTTTATGTCAGGCCTCCTCCGTCCCTCAGTGCTGGTATGTTTGTCTACAATTTAGTTTACTTTTAAATTGAGACTTTATTGTGAAGCTCTCCTATGTATAGAGCCAATAGAGGTTTTGGTGGATTGATGGCAAACGGATTTTCTTTATGCAATATGTTGCATTGATCTAGAGAAATATATTCTGTAATCCTTGTAATGATAACATAGCAAGATTAAACAAATTTAAACCAATCTCTTAGGTATTATATTGTGCAAAGTATTCTTCATGAATAACAAGTTTTATTAAGCATTGGAAAATAGTTTTTACATTCACATTTTCGAAATGTCATTTGTTTGATTGAATTTTGAATTTAGTGTTTTTAGCTTTGCTTAACAGGCACGATAGTAATGTAATAAAGTTGAAATTACAATTTAAAGGATAATGTTCTAAATGTAAACTTCCTCCTTGTAGATCACACACGCATTCCACCCAAGATTTTTGGTACAAGTGATTTGACAAACAATTTGTGCTGCTCACTGGAAGCAGTTCTAATACATGGACTCAGAGACTCTTACTCTTCACGTGTAACATCTTTTTTTGGTGCCCCGCGAGATAAGATGCCTTGCCCTAACTTCTGGCCCGTGGTCATGACCGTGTGCCATAAGGATGATATCAAAGAGGTGAGGGCAGCGCCAGTCACGACCGTCTCTCCTTAGAATGATGAAAAGATGATCATGGGGCCTTCAGGCAAACAACGAATTGTCCAATTTCAACATGTTTTTTTTTTTTATTAGCACAAATCTATGCTTACTTATCCTGTACTTGAAAACTGTTTAATATGCTCGTTATGTGGTAAAGTTTAAGCTTCTCCTGGTTCCTGCCGTATGATTTCTTTGAAGATAATTATCTCTGAAGGTGTGCAATCTATCGTACATCACGAGCGACGTTGGCCGCGGGCGGGCGTGGCTGCGACTCATGATCAACGGCGGCCAAATGTCGAGCTACATCGATGCCCTGACCAGAGAATTGGGCGTTCTCAAGGATTACTACAAGTGAGGCGACCATTAACCACTACAGTATAGATGCTTAACTTATTCACTTCTTGCCAGTTACGTATATTCTGCATATGCTCCAGTTTGGAGCTAAGAAGCTTATTATTTAAGGAATAATTTATATAACTTTTACATCAATATTTCACTGACCACGGTATGGTGATAGAATAATTGAGAATAACCTCGAAGCAAGAAAGAATATTCTCAGTAACTTGGTATAACATTTCGAGTTAAACCATAAGGAAAAATTATGATCAACAGTAACTTTGTTTCAACGAGATGTACTTGTTTACAGACCGAGTGCTCTGGTGCGCCAGGAAGAGAGCTGCTGCCAGCTCCTCGGAACTCTACAGCCGCTCTCGACGCTGCAGTTTCGGCTCGCCACGAACTCGTCCGTCCTCAACACGTGGACGCAGACGCCGCTCGTCCTGGCAGGGATGTGGGCGCCTCTAGACGGTCACACAGTGCCTGGCTGGGTGAGATGTCAGCTCTGCGTGCCTGTGTCTGGTGTCCAAGGCTTAACTGCTGGAATCTTATTACATCGGCTTACTTCAAGTGAAAGCTATGCTGCACTTATTGAGAATCCTAACGGTTCACCCTTCTATCCTTGAATTGGCGAAATTATCACGATATGTAACCTTTTTTTAAATTGTTAATATATTAATAACCCCGCGTCATTTTAACCCTTTGTCGTCACTATATTTAACCCATATTATTCGTCGTCAATGTTAGTTTTATCAAAAGAGCAAGTGCAAGAGTTTACTGGTAAGCACAGAATGTTAAAATGTCCTATTACACAAGCATATTAGTGTTCAGGAAAGGCATTCATCCTGTTTTTACATCTTATTAATGCCATTTCATCAGTAATTACATCGCATTTTCATACTTGAATCCGATATATCTAGAAATCAGAATAAGTAAAGTTATTTGAATTTCATTGCTCTACGGATGACCAAGAAAGATTTTCAATTGAAGGAATATTCGTGTCTATTCTGCTAGTCTCAGCCTGTTGAGCTGGCAGCTGAGATGACAGCAGCAGAGAGCGAGGAGGAACTTCAGCGACGGAGGAGGGAGAAGGAGCGCGCTGAGATCTTCATCGAGGAGACTCCTCTGAACGATCATCTGCTCCACGCCATCCTCTCAGCCACGCCAACTACCAAGTTTATCGGTGAGTCTGAGTGATCTTATACATTCTTATCCACTCCAAAAAGTCAGCTTGACGTTCAGAGAGAAACATCAGTTTCCGAAGTGTCATGTAGCAAGGACACTGAAGTGACTTCTTGAGGTCATTATTTGTTTGGATCTTCTTGGGATTTACTATATATTTTCGATGACGGGACTCGGAAGTACCGGATCTTGGGATTCGGGTCGGGATTCTCAAACATGTCCGGCTTCAAAAACACAAATTTCGATTAATGTTTAATAAACTAGCAGGTAAGCTCGGCGTTGCGCGGGATCAATTGTAATTCCTGAAAGTTTACAATCTCATTAGTATGAATAAAGAATTTATTACGAATCCCATCAGTAAGATTGAAGAACCTGTTCAACCTGCTAATTAGAGAAAGTCTGTTCAAACTTTCACGCCGCATTTTACATAGAATATTGAAATTCAATTTGACTCCCGTTTTGAGATGCTACAAAAATTTAATTTGTCTTCTAAATTATACGAAGTAATCCCTCACGTATCGCGGGTGTTTATTTCCAGACCTTGGCCGCGATATGTGAAGTCCGCGTTGGTGAATTGATCGACTTTAAGTAATCATATTTATGTTGTTTGATTAATTTACATTGGATCAAATGTTTAAGAAATCCTTCCCACACAATTACTGCTGATAGAATCCCACGGGCTGTTTAAACCTGCCGATCGACTTTCTCAGAAACCCACGAACCGGCGAAGACCCACAAATGATTCTTCTTAAAAATATATCCTAAAAAGTCGCGATGAAGTGAAGGTGCGGTAGGTAATACGCAAAAAGTGAGGGAGTACTGTATACCTTTTTAAAAATCAAGTTTGTATTTATGGTTAAACCTTCTCCCTACCAGTTTTCCAATGTCTTACTATTCTCCCACTAAGGATGAAGTTTCAGATTCATATAATAAGTTTATGCGATAATATACGATGTGCGAGTTCACGTAGATACGCGCCCGAACAGTATCTATATATTACCAATGACAGTTTACAAACAAGCTCATTAACTTTTGCGTATGTACCCTATATTAGAGACATTTCTTTGGACGTAATTATTTTTAATGTTACCTACCACTGTTTAATTTGTCAACTGTCGACCGCTCAAGTAGGAAGTACTCCAGGTACTTTGGCGGCAGTACTTTTAGTTGTGTGTTTGTTATACGTAGTGGTATTTTAATAATACTTTATTGAACGCAAACTCACGCATCTGATGCTCATCAGTCATGTGCTCAACAGCTGATGTACGATGTGATCTTATTTAACGAGCGTCGTTTGCACAGGTCTAGAGGCCGCGGTGGAGGAGGAAAGTGGTGCGGCTAGTCGCCCCAAGCCTCTTGTGGTGCGCACGCTGTATCCTCGTTCTGAAGGCGACGTCGCCGGGGCACTCGACACGTGCACGGAGGAAACACCAGAGCCTGAGCAGCCTGCCACTGAAGAACTTCTCGCAGCACACGTCCCTAAAGGGGACATCGAATCTATAGACTCGTCGTCCCTTTTGAATCAGAGTGATGACGGCTCAATAGTCACGTCGTCAAGTTCGTTGGACTTCAACACTCTGCTAGCACGACGGCTCGACAGCGTCGACTATTGCTACGTCAACATCGAGCACATGACTTTGTTGGAGGGCGCCGAGCAGGCCGAGTCTCCCCGCTCCGTCTCACCGGTCCGTCTCTGTGTACAATGATTTTGGGCTTTCTTTACTGCCTATCTTATTTCGATTGGTGTAACGTTGCCATCTTTTATAGTTTGACACATGTCGTTTATTTTTTTGTTGAACTTTTATGTATTTCTGGTGAGTTTCGAAGGAAACGTGATTATCACTCAACTAAATTATATTGCGGTTATGGAGAAGCAGACTGATTATTTTTATTGTATTGAATTTACACGGGTGTCATTTTATTAGGATCTTTTACATCGTCCTTGTGTGAATTTCACCGCGTGTTGCAAATTGATGTGCGAAATAATTCTTTCTTCATTTTGCCGTGTGAAATAAGCTATTCGGTTTCCATACTATGATTAATTACATGCTTGCACGAGTTTTGTAAACGCTATTGTTGGTTTATTTTTGATGTTATTGTCCTTGATGCATTCCCAGCATAAAAAATCGCGAGGTGAGTATCAAAGATGTGCTTAACTTTGATGCGTATATTTGCTTATCACCTGATGATTGTGTTTTGTGGGTCAGACAGGGGATGAGGTGTACAACGGAGCGAGTAAAGGTGTCGGCTGTGACGACCATTCTACTGATCTCACTTCAGATGCGGTATGTCTCTTCATGCCTCAGTTGTTTAAATTAAGTAGCCCCTTCAGTCAGATTTCTGCCACGGTCACGTGGTAAATTAGCCGTGTTACTTTTATCAGGCGCTTGAAATGACATTAAGGTAGATGTTCCTTCGTAGTTGATTCATCTCTGCAAGTTGTGTAACAACGTTCTAGTCTGAATCAAGCGTGAAATATCGATGTAGTATGTTACACGTATGAATTCTAATACACAGCGATACCACTAAATGTGTTAAGTACGAATATTCTATCATTTTATTTTCAAGAAATTTCTCTCACTGAATCCTAGAGATGCCTGACGATGAAATATGTTTGCAGGAGCGTAGGCGCTCGTCGCTGGTGACGCAGCTGTGCCCGCAAGTGGGTCTGGACGAGCAGAACTACCAGTGCCATCAGTGCCGGGCCTTCATAGGGCTCTTCTATGGACAGTTCAGGTACTGCTGGGGCATCTAACGGGCTGCATTAATGCCGTGTTGTCGAATATGTTCTAGTTCATCTTCTAATTATAATATTGTTTTTACCCTTTGTATTCAAATTTTGATGGTTTTAAGTATTCAGACAATGCGTTTTTGACATACGGACGAACTAAAAGTTTTTATTCGACTATTTTAGTCTTCCAAATCGTATTTGGAGACCAAATCATATATGGAGATTCCCATTTCTGTCGAAAGTTTCCGACTGATCGAAAAGTTCTGCGCCATCAAAATTTTAGACATTTCATTAATATTTTGCTGCACACACGGACGACCTTGGGGATTGAACCTTGTGTTATTTTGCCACAGAGTTTGCGCGATGGACGGCCATTCGTATTGCGTTGAGTGCCACAACAACTACACAGCTGTGGTCCCCGCCAGGGTGATCTTCAATTGGGACCTTCGGCAGCACGCAGTCGCTGACGCCAATAGAGACTGGCTCCTCAGTTGCATCGACGATCCCATGATTGATATCCGCGCCGCCAACCCTCGTCTCTACGAGCACGTCGAAGAGCTCGATAGACTCCGGGTAATCAACAGCATTTTTCTAATATTGTATTATTGTAATATTCTAATATACTCTAATATTAAGGAGATATCGATGCTTTGTATATTACCTGTCTCTTATACACATCTAGATGTGTATAAGAGACAGGGTTATAAGATGTCAGCTGTAGGACAAGGGTTATAAAATGTCAGCTGTAGGACAAGGGTTATAAAATGTCAGCTGTAGGACAACGGTTATGAAATGAGTGCGTTCTGAAAGTATCCTAGCTATTTATATATATGATATCACTATTTTCATTTAGGTTACGAGTGATCTTACCAGTTAAATTTTTCAATGTATACAGAAAACCGTTATATCGTGAATATCGTCATACAGGGTGGGATTGAGCAGTTTGAGGCGAAATAAAAGAGTAATGGAGGTACATGAAGAAGAAAATTTATTTTCCTCGAGGTTAGCTTAACATACCATTTAGAATACTTACCTATATTTTGAAAATAATATCAGGAAGATGGTGTCTGTTAGCTGCAACACACTGTTGGAGTCGTTCTCGGAAGTTACCTACAGCACGTTCACACATATGGCGAGGTATGACCATAACCTCTGCTGCAGTAATCCGTTCCCTTAGCTGTGGTAGGGTGTGAGGGCGAATTCTGAACACCCTCGCTTTTAGCTGTCCCCAAAGAAAGAAATCGCAAATGCTCAAATCAGGTGACCTCGCAGGCCACTGTAAATCCCCCCTCAGAGACACCGAGAACGACTCCAACAGGGTGTTGCAGCTATCGGCCACCATCTTCCTGATATTATTTTCAATACATAAGTATTCTAAATGGTATGTTATGCTAACCTCGAGGAAAATAAACTTTATTCTTTATGTACCTCCATTACTTTTTTATTTCGCCTCAAAACTGCTCAATCGGTTATGCGCCACCCTGTATTATTTTCAGAAGGTTTCTTGATTTCCACAGATTGGAAGCAACTTCGACATTAGTTTCCATTCCATGCTCTCTCATGGTACAATGTACAGGATGATAACCATCTCTAAGATCTGAGCCAGATCGTTCAGAAAAATATTCCAAGACCGAAGTGCCGCCAGTTTTAGCTTCTGCCAAGATGGCATCTCACGAGCTTGCTGTTGTGCCGGTCGAAGCGCTGCCTCAGGACGGGTATGTCGGTCACTTTAACCGCCTTGAAGCACGACCAGTTGCGCACCGTCAGGTCTCGAGCCCAGCCAGGGAACGTCTTGTCGCAGTATGACGTCACGTTGTCACCCGTCTGAAGAAATTGCAAGATTAATTACGTTTTATGGTGATTCGGTCACCTGGTCACTACAGTAAGATGCAACACTTACGAATCTGTACTGAAATGAAACCGTAAATGCGTCCAAATCCACTCGACTCTTTGATGATTTTCGAACCATGCTATCATTCCCAAGTATCTTTTCTACCAGTTTATTGAGTGCAGAAATAGTACAAATACAATTTATTTCCCAGATACTTAGCGACTGCATAGGATGATAATGTGACTGAATGCAAATAAATAAAATTTCATTTAGAACCAAAAACACCATCTGTTGGAAAAATTTCATCGATCTATAATCTTGCCCAAAAATTAAGGAGTACCTTTTCAAAGTAGCTGAAGGCGAAGTATGATCGGCCACCGACCCGCACTTCGAAGCCCTGGTCATATACCATCGTCCAGGTGCCGATGTTACCGAACTCATCCTCCGCCGTATTGGGGAAACGTAACTTGATCGTCTTCTGGTATACGACCTCATCTTCGATGAAATGATAAAAACCACAATTACCATGAGATAAATATAAGAAAAAATAAGTGTTTTCTAAACAATTTTCGTGGCGAAACAAACTTCTGAGCGGAACTGCGGAAGACTTCTGAAACGCTCGCCATGTTAGGCACATTTTGCAAACGGAATTTTAGTATAAATAGTAAATGGAAAACGGAGTAGGTATGTGAATTGAAATAACTATATCGGCGCGGAAGGCTTAATTTAAGTTGAGGTTGCTTTCTAGCACAAAGATTCAAATGTTCTAGCACAAAGATGCAAGTACAAAATACGAATCTTATATGAAATATAAGCAGACAATTCAATTGAGAATGACTGAATAAAAAGTGCTTGTAAAAGTGCTAAAATACATTCACAACCACCTCAAACAATATGCTGTCACGTACATACAATAACTCACCGACTGTGTCGCAAGCCATGCCAGGGCTGCCATCACGAGCTGACTCGTAGAACGTCCATGTTCCCTGAATGTCACTGAAGTAACATTCAACGGGAAGATCGGCTGCTCCTAACTCGAATGTTACAGCCACTACCAGCAGGCTTAATAATAGCCCCTTCATACTGATCACCTGAGCAGAAAACGCTAAAATAAAACTTGGAAATTATATAAGGAGCCGCGCGATTGTCAATGTATCCATGTAAGATAGCCTTATCTCCATGTCTAAATGTCTAAGCAAGTGTGTAACTGTATGAGTATGACTATCCACCAATTATTTCAAATCTTATTCAAAATTTGATTCACAAATTGTAATCGAATTTACTTTCTGAAGTCGAATATCGGTACCAGAGATATAGGCTTAGGAGCAGACGGTTGTTATTCATACAGTGCGTGGTTCTTGGAACGCATCGATAATTTTGGGACGAATTTTCATAGCAGGTTTTCCACCTAAGCTTTTGGGTTATTGAAACTATATGCTTTAGTTGCGGCCTAATCCCACATACGAAATTAGAATACATCTACTTTTTGAGCCATGACTAGAGATTTCCTGTCATTTCTGGAGCTGGGATATTGTGGCTAGATAAATTATCTAGTATCTAATTGTTAAGAAAAATCATGATCAAATGTTATTCTTATTAAAATGTACTTTTTGACTAGAATCACTCAAAGCCGGAAACTTGAAAGCTAATACTCTTCAGTCATTAGCCGATACGAAAGTGGAGTGCGCAATGTCTTCGGTGGAACTACAGGAGGTATCCCATTCCTAGAAATCCGCCTTGCAACGCTCTTATGTAATAAGCGATTCGTCAGATTTCGTCTGCCATTTGACAGAATATACTTTTGTACAAAGCCATGATCAATGAATAAAATCGGAATAAAAATGGCACCAAGTCTTAGAAATGTAAGCATTACCTCAAATGGCATTCAAAAGATATAAACTTAGCAATACAAATTTGTTTTGACCTTCAGTGCGACCTTCACTACTAATATTACAAGAGCAAAGCGCTGTAGGACGAGTCCGGTGCACTCTAGTGCACTCCACATCCTACAGATGCAGATAACGCAAGCGAGGCTGCGAGAGGCGGTACATGGCTACGACGCAGTACAGGAACTCTGGTTTGAGATAGCAACTTTGACACGTGACTGAAGTTTAGTTAATAAATAGACTTGCTCTTGACGAAATATTGAGTATATGCCCAAGCATACAAAAAATTCATAGAATAATGCGGAGAAATTTTCCGAATAATCAGTATCAAACATTTAACCACATTTGTCGAGGTTTGACCAGAAGTCCAGAACATAAGCTGCATTGTGATTATCCGCAACATACAACATACCCGGTAGTTAACCAAGTAAACCCTTTCCGGACCAGAAGCTTTTCCCTTCAGAGTTCAGTTTGTGATTACTGTGGTGCAAGAACTATTTGACACCTTGGTGTTCTCTAACGAAGCTGGCCTCCATCACGAGACTGAAGTTTTGAGAAAACTTACCACTGTTACCAGGAAAGAGATTAAGAAAACAAGTAGGCCTAGCTATTCAATAATTGTAACAACTGCACAACCTACAATTGCCTTGCCTCAATTAATGGTTGGAATTAATTTTTTTCCTGTAGCGTGCACTGTAAATGTCAGTAACCTCTCTATGCAGTCATCGTTCATTCTTATAAAATGTCTCATTATTTTCCCAATACCATCATTTTTTCGTCTGATCTTATGACTGTTCCTTTAAGCCTGTAGTATGTGAAAATTGGGTTACTTTACCAATGCATGTCGAACTTCCGTAACTTAGCCAATCAATTACGAATTACAGTCCCGATACACCAAACACCACACAACCGTGCACCAAGCCGGCGCTCAGCTCACTGTTTGCTAGAGAAGGAACTCAACTCTAGGAAGACCAAGAAGCTCACTCCTGCAGCTGTAGCTGCCGCCAAAGCTGCATGCTTTCCGTCATAGACATTTTACTCGCAGAGACGAGTATGTGTGCAAGCTCTATGTTATTCCTAGTTATGAGTTTAATAATAGGTAAATTTCTAGTAAACCGAGCATTTAGTAGCTATTCGGTTACTGGAAATTGGAGTTTTTTTTTCAAAGAAAAGACGTATAAATTGAAAATAATTGCTATCGCGGCTTATTACAAATAATTAGTCATGGGCAGATTCGTTCACAACTGAGGGACTAAGGGAGCGTTGAGCAGTAGCGCAGGAGTTACGTTTTGAGTTCCAGTCCGCTGACGAGTTCGCGGGCGACAGCGGAAAAGTGTCGAGTCGGTCGAGTCAAGCATTTTTTTTGCATAGATCTGGCTGGGCTGGTAGGTGTCCATCACTTTATTCTTCAACCCAACTATACGAAAATAAAGGATAGGCACAGCCTGTACGTGACCGCTGACTATGTAGAAGCGTATTCCAGCTAGCTGAGTCTTATTTCATTAACAGATCATTCAATGCTTATTCCAGAAGGTAAGTAAATTTCGATTTATTCTCCATCAAAATTACCAATTATGTGGAATGAATTTAGCTGGGAAGCCAAGGGATGTGACAGAGATGCCTAGTGTTGAGAATTAATGTGAACAAAATTTTCTGTAGTGTTCGGAAAGACATAACGGGAGTGGTGACTTAAAGGCCATTGCTGTTAGCTCTTTAGGACTACAGCTATAGGCTAAGATTGTAGCTATATATGTGTTTGCATCTTGCATTCCATTGAAATGCCATTCGGTAACTTGCTTTTTGATCTCCCAACGTCAGCAAGAAATTTTGTTCGATTCGTTGAAAATACAAATATGAAAATTGTTAATAAAAAGCATGCTCTCGTTTTCAAATAAACTTGCATAAAAAACACATATAAGTCGTGCCGAAATCGTGGAATTGCCGATTCTATGGAATCGGCAGCCAGTTGCCGAATCTATAGAATCAGAATTTTGTTGCTGATTCAGGAAATCGGACGTTACAGTTAGAGTTGGAACATAAATCGACAATTAGAGTAAGAAGAGGTTAGGTCCTCATGTATAGTTAAATATATAAAATATTTAAAAAATATAGCTCAGTACTCACTGCAGTGAGTGCCAGAGAGCGCATTTTCTCGTCGACGAAAACATGAAGTCTCGGACAGACAGACGGACGGACAGACGGACAGACAGACGGACGTACATGATGAGCACAATAGGGCATTTTTTCCATAAAGGAAACAAATGCGCTAAAAAGGACTTTGCTGACTGACCTAACCCCAGATTCCTATAGTAGGTATAGAAATGCTAATTCTCATAGATTCGGCAACAGCCTGCTGATTCCATAGAATCGGCAATTCCGACTTCTTGCTTCGTTTTTACTGTTACCGTAGGTTTCTGTGATTATAATTACGTAGTGTAATTTTCGTAGTGTAATTACACTACAATAATTATTGCCAACCAAAGTTGACAAGTTTATATATTAATCACTTTTATCACAATTATTTATAAAATAATGGACGTGACTTGCATATGATATGAAGTCATGTAAATTTTCTCACAGGGACAATGCAAATGTTAAGGCAGCGGTATATTCTTGTGGACAGATAAGCGTTCTGACTGTTAAACGCAAGCGCTTGACTTGAGTTGTGAGGCATCAATTTACTCGCGTAATTCTATGAAGAATATATATTTTTGCATTTTGGATTTATGGATCAAGTAACATGAGGTTACTTAATGACGGGCTGGAGCTTAGAACTTATGTTCGTAGTCCTGGTCTCTTGATCACGTCCAGAGACAAGTCATTCTTCAGGATGTTCACAGAGACCTTTATCTGTAGACCGACCGGTGTCTGCTAGCGCCGTTTAAGTTAGGGTTACGAGTATATGCGTCATTGAGATAAGGTGGTTGTTTGTATTTAACTGATACACAACAAGTACACAGTTTAAGACGTATTTTCACATTAAAGCTGCCATGTGAATTTCTCTCGTGTATTCCAGTTTCAGTTGGGGAGACTATCAAACCACTGGCCCTGGAAGCCTAATGCTTTAGCCCTGCCAACATCAGCTCTGCTGTAGGGATCTCGGTTTTGCACGTGCTGGATTTCTACTAACAGCCTCATAATATCATGAATCGTCAGACAACTTACTTAATAACCTATAAAACCATTGATGTTACACACATTGTGTACAGATTTAGTTTTTTTCATTCTAAGAAGCCACTTATGGGATGAATTTCAACGAGGAAGCTAGTGTGGGGGTTTTCATTTACCACTCCACATTAAGTTATAAACTCCTATCAGAGAATTGACCGGCCTAGCTAGTTAACTTGAATTATTCACCAAGGCACGGACAGAAACATAGAGATCGGCAGAACGAATTTGGTTGGGAGAAATGAACACACAATAAATTGTTAGGTTATTTATTAGCTCAGCTCACGTGACCTGCTCGTTTTGATGCAGGAGGTTGATGCGGGTCCACGGGCCACCGTTGTTGGGTTGTTGCGTTGATATACACGTGGTTGAGTGGCGAGACGTTGGGGAGGTTATTCGATGCACGTTGTGAGGTTGACGAAGTTAACTGAGCGTGCACGTAGAAAGCTCGCACACTATATACTTTACTGGACGTGCTCGTTGTGCCTATAGCTCACAGAGTGTCTCTAGCGAAAGTTCTCTGAGTTCACATGATATCAGTCAACGTAATGGGTACACAGCAAGAATTTACTGAGTTGATTAACTGATTACGTTCACAGCGAGAATTCACTGAGTTGGTTGACTGATTAAGTTCACAGCGAGAATTCACTGAGTTGGTTGACTGATTATGTTCACAGCGAGAATTCACTGAGTTGGTTGACTGATTAAGTTCACAGCGAGAATTCACCGAGTTGATTAACTGATTACGTTCACAGCTAGAATTTACTGACTATCAGAATGAGAGTTAATTGAGTATATCACACTTCATAGCAAAGTTCACTGAATATTCACGGATGAGCGTCGGTAGACTGAGTTGGCTTGAGGCGTGGCAAGATGGTGGCCTGCGAGTTGGCGGGAAGTCAAGCGCGTGACGCCGATGTCGAAGACTCGAGGCTGACCCAGATACTGGCCGGGATAATTAGATTTGCTGACTGAGATGACGTCAGGCGGGAGATTTCGCGTGATCTTGATTTTATGCGTTGCGGGAAACAGATCATGTAGAGCTGCGAAATAAGGCCTTTGTTAATACGCTATTCACATTTTACGACACCATCTCACAAATGAGCTAAAGCCACGTGAGCTGTATTTATGGCATGAAAATACGTTAATTTAATACGTTAATTTAATTTATTCACTTGCAATGACTCCGACTTCGGAACTAACTTTACTCTTATAGCTACTTAACACATTGAATGAGAGCTATTCTACGGCAGAATAATTTCTAAGTTACGGAGCTTACGTGAGAGATGTTGACGACTCAAAGTCAGGAGGCAAACAGAACGTTAGGATTTTGAGAGGCTATAAAAGAACCAGTGAAAAAGGGCTAGAGCTGTTGCCATCGACTGAGCTGCATTCTCCGAAACTCTCGTGATGATGTTATAATCATTTAATATGATTTAAAATGTACGACTTTAATGTGTATTGTAAGTGTTAATATTAATGTTAGTATAAGAAACCTAAAAATTAGTTATAGTATGTTAGTTTGAGAAACATAAAAATTAGAGATATGTTATGCATAATATTAGTGCTATGTAGCGAGATCCGCTACACTAGTACTTGCACAATAATTAGAAGGTAGCGAAAGGCGAAATGGAACATTGTTGACTTGCTCTAATTTTCTAAACATGCAAGGCCTGAATAATTCCTGGTTTCACTTACCAGCCAATGAGTAACTTAGTCGGGATGTATAACATGTGATAGCAATTTAAACTTGAAACAAAAAACATCTGTATGCAATAACGCAAATTTGATTATCCCTCACTAGTTTGAGCCATTGCTCGGGCTCGCCAAGCTCCCGCGTATCCACGTTAGTCGCGTTGCTACGCCGCCATCTTTGTATCACACTGGCGCCTCAGCTTACTCTCTCGTTCCTAAACATTTGGACGTTTTGGTAGCAATGGAGAAAGAAAGAACAAAGCAGCAAGGATTAGGCTGTTGTCAAAAACTCCTTCCTTCAGTGAGAGACTGATATTTAAGAAAATTATTCGACATTAACGATGTTGATGCCAACGAAGTGCCGGCAAAGCCGTGATGTGCAGATTTTGCAAGCCTGCCTCCCGTTTATCACGGTGATTTACTAAACTATTTGGTATTTGGTGGTCAGCCAATACACCTTGCAATAATTCAAGGCATACAAGATGCTTGAAGCTTACAAACAATTTGTGGATGGATGGGTACAGGCGATGGAGAAACGAAACTTCAACGAATCAAGAAAGGCGATGTACTTGGTAGAGTTAGTTTGGTAGTACAACTGGACGAAGATAATTATGCTGATGAATGGAACATTCTAAGAATGGAAAATGAAATTCTTTTTCACCTTTTTGAAGAGGAAAGGGATTGATGTGACCGAGGTTTAACGTATAAAGGGCCAAGAGAAGTGACACCGTAGTGGGCAGAGCTTTATTACGAACTGAACAATACTGTACAACGGGTTACCACAATGACTTATCCTGTTGCCACACAGGTAAGCTAAAGGCTACATAGTGATTACCACAAGGATAGAATTTTATCAATGCTTACTAAGTAACCAGGGTTCGGACGGCTCATAGTAATACCGATCCCGATATTGGACGCGCTCATGTGACATCTTAGACCACAGAACTGACCAACAACACACCAATTCACCAGAAACCTCGACGTTTTGCAAAACCAATTTATATTGAAATTGAAAGGCAATGTAAAGAACTCGGAACATTTGAT